AACAACACAGAAAGAGGACAAATTGGCCTATATAGTCTCATCTACATTTTATTTGAAGTGATACAATTTAATTTTAAGGAGACTCAAAATTTAAGGATCTTTATTATAATCCTCATAGAAACTACTAAAGGTAATATACAATAATAGAGCTAAAAGGCCAACAGATATATTAAAGTTAATTCAAATGTTTCAGAAATCCAAAAGGTAGGAAAGGAGAAGAGTGACAAAAACAGAGAAACAGAGAACAACAAAATGGTACACCTAAATTAAACCATAGTAATAATCACACCTAAACGTTAATTAACTGAGCGTTTCAATTAAAAGGCAGAGACTATCAGAAAGACAAAGAGTAAGACCCAGTTATATGCTGCCTGTGACACAAAGACTTTAGCAACAGGATGAAAGTAACTGGTTGGAAAGACACATATCATGAAGTCAGTCAGCATAAGACTGGATTGGCCCTACCAATAATAGATAAAAGCAGACATCTAGATAAAGAGTATTATTAAAGAAAAAGAGTAACTTTCATGATGATTAAAGGGTTAGTTCATCAGAATATGTATTTGTTTAGTAAGATTCAAAATATCTGAAGAAAAGTTGATAGAATTAAAGGGGGATATAGATAATTCAATGATCATACTTGGAAATTTAATACAGCTCTCTCGACAGCTGACTGAACAATATAAACAAATCAGTAAAAGTCGTAAGTTATCTGGACACCTAGTTGATGTTTAATAGAACACTACATCCCAAGTTCAGGACACACGTTCTCTTTAGGTACACATGTGCATTCACTCAGATAGACCATATCCTGGGCCATTAAACAAATCTTGATAAATGTTAGAAGACTTAAATAGTTCACAGTATGTTCTCTGATCACAATGGAACCGAATCAGAAACAAAAAACAGTACGATATGTAGCAAAATTCCTAATATTTGGTAGCTAAACAACACAATCCAAAATAATCAATGAGTAAAAAGAATACATTGTATGTTCAGAACCAGAAGCTGCAGTTTGCTTTTAGAAGCATCAAAAATAAGATGCATTGGTGAGTGGAAGGGTGGAAAGATAGTCCCGTGTGTAGAATAAATCACGTACAGTACAATACTATTGACAGAGTCAAGGTGAAGGTATACAGGTACAACTATAAAAACCTTTCAATTTTGCTGTACATGTGAAAATTTTCATAATAAAATGTTGGGGGAAGAATCTTTTGGCCAAATTCAAAATGCAGATAATTAAAAAGAATTAGTACCCTGCAAAAGGAAGAAAAAATACCTCTGTTGAGTGATAGGAAGGTACTAGTTACTTGCTCTGATCAGTAAATAACCAGGTGAGCTAGAACGACAGACTATTAGATGATAACAGTTCTTTGTAAGAGCTCTAGTCTGCTGAATGCTACTTCTTATTTTCAATAGCTCATTTTTTCCACAGCCTGGTCCTTAGGCCTTGTGACCTTCGTATCCCTAAGAGTAATTCCATCAGAGTTAACAAGTATAATGCAGTTAATGTTGAGGAGGGGTTAAATTCATTTACAATAAGTAAATGAATTTAACCCCTCCTCAACATTAGATATAATGTTTTTGAGGATTAGATATAATCCTCAAATATATTTCATTGATTATGCTATTACAGTTGTCCCAATTTTCCCATCTTTGCCACCTTCCACCCCGTACCCCCCATTCCCACCAGCATCCCCCTTACTTCACATCCATGGGTCATGCATATAAGTCTTTGTCTTCATTTCCTACACTATTCTTAACATTCCCCTGACTATTCTATACCTACCAATCAGCACTTCCTAATGCTTCCCCTTACCCCTCCCAGCTGATAACCCTCCAAATGATCTCCATATCTATGATTCTGTTTCTGTTCTGCTTGTTTGCTTAGTTTGTTTTTTAAATTCAGTTGTAGTTAGTTGTGAATTTGTTGCCATTCTAATGTTCATAATTTTGATCTTCTTTTTCTTACATAAGTCCCTTTAACATTTCATGTAATAATGGCTTGGTGATGATGAACTCATTTAGCTTTACCTTGTCTGGGAAGCACTTTATCTGCCCTTCTATTCTAAATGATAGCTTTGCTGGACTGAGTAACCTAGGTGGTAGGTCCTTGCTTTCCATCACTTTGAATACTTCTTGCCAGTACCTTCTTGCCTGCAAAGTTTCTTTTGAGAAAGAAATCAGCTGAAAGTCTTATGAGAACTCCTTTGTAGATAACTATATGCTTTTCTCTTGCTGCTTTCAAGATTCCCTCTCTTATCTTTAAACTTCAGCATCTTAATTATCATGTGTTTTGGTGTGGTCCTCTATGTGTCCATCTTTTTTGGGATTCTCCATGCTTCCTGGACTTGTATGTCTATTTCCTTCACCAAATTAAGGAAGTTTTCTTTCATTATTTTTTCAAATAAGTTTTCCGTTTCTTACTCTTCCTCTTCTCCTTCTGGAATCCCCTAGGATTCAAATGTTGGTATATTTGAAGTTGTCCCAGAGGCTCCTTACCCTATCCTTGTTTTTTTTTTTTAATTCCTTTTTCTTGCTGTCCTGATGGCATTTTCTTCCTCGTGTTCCAAATCATTAATATGATTCTCGGCTTCATCCACTCCACTGTTGAATCCCTGTAATTTTTTCTTTATTTCACTTAGTGTAAACTTTATTGCTGCCTGGGGTCTTTTTCATGCTATTGAAGTACCCAATGAGTTCCTTCAGCATCCTGTTAACCAGTGTTTTGAACTCTGCATATGATAGATTGCTTGTCTCCATTTTGTGTAGCTCTTTTGCTGGAGTTTTGTTCTGTTCTTTCATTTGGTCCGTGTTTCTTTGTCTCCTCAATTTGGCAGCCTCCCTGTGTTTGTTTCTATGTTTTAGGTAGAGCTGCTTTGACTCCCTGTCTTAGTAGTGTGGCCTGTCGTAGAGAAGCACACCTGAAAGTTGGATGGGGCGGAGCCTTAGGTAATCACCTGGGCGGGGCAACCTGTGTGAACCAGGTTGATGGAGTCGCAGCTATGGTGTCACCACTATGTGGCTCTGTGTAGGCAGGGCTCTGAAAAGGGACAATGGACACTGCCTGGTCTCTGGAGTTTTCTGGGAGTGAGCTGTCCCCCTGCACCTGCCCTGATGCCAGACACTTCAGTTTCTTCCTGTATGCTACTGGTGCCCTTTAAGCTGCTGTCCCACTGCTGGAGCCCAGAGGGAGAAAGATTGTGTAAATCCTGAATCCTAAGTCCTAAATTCTAAGTCCTAGGACCATTTAGGAGGAGGTGCCTACGAATCCTGCCATTTCTCCCACCAACCAACCCTGACTTGTTTTTATATCCAGAAGTTATGGGAACTTATCTTCCTGGCACTGGAACTCTGGGCTGGGGTCCCTTGCTCCCAAGATATCCATCCTGATTTTTACCCACCACACGTGGGTGTGTGACCACCTGTTCTGTGTCTCTGCATCTCTGTGTCTCCATGTCTCCACTCCTCCTATCCGTTTCAATGAATGGGACTTAATCCTTACTTGTCAGACTTCCATACCATTCAATTTTTTGACAATTCTGGGTGACAGTTGTTTTGAGGTTTAGTTGTCATTTTTGCTGTGGTTGTATGAGGAAGTGAGCCTAATTTACCAATGCCTCCATCTTGACCAGAAGTCCTAAATTCATTTATTAAAATGAAAATAAAAGAGAAGTGGCTACCTCTCAAAATACGTTTTCATTTTTGAGGAATTCTGTTTCCTACTAACTAAATATCACTGCTGTGTGAGTTCCTCTGCAGTTCTCTGCATCTCAATATCCAAGCTGTAAAATGGGTGCTGATTAAAGGATTAAAGGAAATGATGACTAGAAAGTGATCTCCTTCCTATCTAGAAACTTACATAAGCACATACTGTCTTAACTCTGAGGAGAATTAAGTGAAAAGAATGAGTTATTCTATTCTTTTCATGAATTCATGAAAACTAATCAAGAACCTTGGATGAGTGAAGTGGACAACTGTCCAGTGATCTCTCACATTTCCTATCAGATGGCTCAAACAATACCTGCCCCCTAGGTTACGTCCTGACTCATTTGTTGGCTTGCTTATTCTGTGGCTAGGCTCTCCTAGGCCAAGGCAAGACTGCTAGTTAAAGCAGAAGTTATTGAGTAAGTCCTGAAAAGTCCACAAGACTCTCCTAGGTTTTCTTCTAGAAGGGTTTACTCTAAACCCATCTAGCATAAGCCCAACTAGACTTTTCAACACAGTAGTATAAAATCTGATGAACAACAGCTTCTCCCCAGTGGCTGAATATGTTATAAATTTTATATATTTTAAAAATTGGCTGCCTCAAATTATTTTTAGAGATAGATTCTGAATGCCCACACATGTTGTTTGGTAAAATGTCTGAGACCCTTTATTCTGGTTAAAAAATAACAATGAACATAATGACTATATTCCTCATACAGTGATTTAACATTTATCTTATGTCTTTTTTGCACACTGCCTTTTTTGATCTTTGTAATGTCCCAGCCCACATACCTCTCTTAATCCAGCAGTTATGCCCCAATTTATGCAGCTGGCTCCATATAAAATCCAGCTTGAAGAATCCTTTCACCATACACAGAGTCAGGCCCCAAATCATTCATTCTGACCTGCTTTGTGCCCCACTTCCTGACTTATTCTCATTCAGCCCAGTTCTCACCTCTATGACTACTTTACTCATAGGATCATTTTATGATTTGAGATCTGTCAACAGCTCTTTTCTCTGGCTCTGATTTCTGGCTTTCCTAACTAACTGTGATTAGTATTTGCCCTCAGTGACTATATGCCTTTAAGTCATGGTGGACAAATATTTTGCCATGCCTAGTACCGGCTGCAGGCTCCAGAGGCCAGTACTTCCACATGGGATGCATACCAGGCTAAGCTCTCAATTCATTCACATTTAAGGACTATAAGGGGGCATTTCCAGAGCTAACAAAACATGGCTGGCAGACCTCCTATTTGTTCTGCTACTAATAATGGTGGGCATTCTCCTTTACCTCTGCCTTTGGCTCAGCTGCTTCATTAGAGGTATCATGTTGTTCCTTGGCTTGGGCCATCTGAGTCATCAACCTGTCCATGTGGGATTGGATGTCTGCCAGTATCTCAGTCACATGAGCTGTGGCCATTGCTTCCTGGATGTCCACTAGATGAAGGGCCTTCTGTTCCTCATCAGCAATCACTTTCTGAACTTTCTTAAATTCCTGCTGTATAAAAACCTTCATCTGGTCCCGAGTTACCTGTAGCACACAGACAAGCAACAAGAGTCAGTTGGACACACAGAGAAGTGGAAGGTGAGAGCTGTCACTGTAAGTGCTAGGCAGACATGGCCAAAATACAAACACCCTGGTTCCTATTGAATACTGAAGTTTTGGGAATATCCTCTAAACAATGCTCCCCTCTAATATCTTTGATAAATTTCCTGCTAATTTTTTGCCCCTTTCATTCTTTAGAAAGAAATTTTCATCTTCTTTTTTTGTTTTCTTTTTGTTCATTATTACAGCAGTAATATATAATTACTTTTCAAAAATTTAATAGATGAGTACATATGAAAAATGAAATTCTCCTCCTCTCTCCATCCATCTACCATTTCCCTCTTTAGAGGGAAATTACTATTAACAATTTTGCATGTACCCTTCCAGCCATTTTTCTATGTATCTATACCTATATCTATCTATATAATTATCTTATTTTTATATAAATGGATCACAGTACACACATGGACCTGTGTCTTGCTTTTATTTAAAATATTTTAGTACCTACAGAGCAACTTTATTCTTTGTACTAGTTTTAATATCTGTATGATGAGGATAAATGTGCATATTTATTTATATACACAAATATATAAATAAATGCATAAATATCTCATACACATACACACACATTCCCTTCTTAATGGAAACACAGGAAATTTCCTTTTTTTTGCTATTACAAACAGCATATCAATGAATATCCTTGGATATGCCTCTTAATTTTGCATTTGTTTCTTTAGAGACCTTTGAAACCACTGGGTCAATTCATATGTACTCTTAAAAAAACTAATTGAGAAACACTAATCCAAAAGAACCTATGCACCCAGTGTTCATAGCAGCACAATTTACAATAGCCAAGTGCTGGAAGCAACCTAGGTGCCCATCAGTAAATGAATGGATCCAAAAATTATGTTATATTTACACAATGGAATTCTATGCAGCAGAAAGAAAGAAGGAGCTCCTACCCTTTGCAACAGCATGGATGCAACTGGAAAGCATTATGCTGAGTGAAATAAGCCAGGCGGTGAAAGACAAATACCATATGATCTCACCTTTAACAGGAAGCTAAACAACAAAACAAACAAGCAAGCAAAATAAAAACAAAGACATTGAAATAAAGAACAGGCTGACAGGGACCAGAGGAGAGAGGGGAGGGAATTTTAGGGAAAAAGGTGAAGAAGGGTTTACAGGAACAAGTGTAAAGGACACATGGACAACAACTAAGGGGGATGGAAATGGGAGACAGGTGGGGAGCACTGGGGGGGGCTGGGATAGGAGTAAAAGACAGAAAACTCTACTTGAACGAATAAATTTAAAAATTAAAAAAAGAACTAATTGATACTGCCAAGTGCTCTCCAAAAATAGCGCATCGATTACATTCCCACAACAATGTGTGAAAGTAAGCATTTCCCTTATAGCTTCACCAGCACCACATAATACCGAGTGTTTAAACTTTTACTTTCTGATGGGGGAAAATACATTATTGTTTTATTTTGCAACGACAATTGTACGAACCAAATCAATTATGACTGTAGGCTAAACTGGCCAGAGCATAAGAAAGGCCAAGTGAGAAACTACCAAAATAAGAACTTCTAAACTCTGTCTTGCCAGCAACTCCATTTATTGATGTTTCCTCATAATCACATTTACTTTATGAGTATTTTTAAACAACTGTGCATACTGGGTAGCTGAGGTAGGGAACAGGGAAGAGGTGGGGCAGTAGACAATAAGAGAAGGCCAACAGACAGCTGCAGACTCGTAGGAGATGCAGAGGACTCCCATCTTCTTGTTTCCAGTTTGTGCTCTGTTCACTATAATCGTCTGCCAGAGGTCAAACTGGAAAAACCTCAGAAAGGAAATTAAGAGAAAGTCTAAATGAGAGGGAAGATCAAGCCACTTTTGATTGGCCTCTTAAAAATGGAAAGAGCCTTGATACTTTAAGCCACTCACGCAACAGTGCCATAAGAATGTCAATGCAAAATAAGGCCTTTGTGACATGTATCTGCTCACACATCAAGTGACTACGTGACATAGCCCTCAGGAATTCATATGCTCTCTGCAGGTGCTCTCCTGAGGAAGAAGGGATGGAGTGTTAAATGTTATTCATATCCTACAAATTCTATACCGGATTGAGAACTATGATTGTGCTTACTGTTGTAATTCCTTTTAGCTTTTAATGTATTTCAAGACTGTTATGCTTTACGGTGAAATCCATTTATCAATGGATTTCTAGCCTTGAAATAAATTAGGTCTTATGACATCTAGGATTTTCTCTTGAAGACAAACCAAGGAAACTTGAGCTAAGGGATGAACTTCTCTGAATGCCTAAGAAACCCAACAGTTCCAAGTGACTAGAAATAAAGGTCATAATAAAAACTGACTGGCAACCTGTTTTCCTAGACCTCACATCACATGAGGCTGGAGGTGAGGAAGCTGACATCGCGGTCAAGGGAGGTGTGGGCCAGACTGCAGTAGGCAAACTGTGGTTTAAAAAAAAATAAAAGTTTCTGTTTCTCATTGCTTTACATAGATTTTTCAATACGACACTCTTTATTTTATACAGATCGAGCTACGAAAAAGAATTAAAGGCAGAATAATCCACTCTATAAAACCTTTATGCCTTCTTCCTCCTCCAGTTCCCTACTACTTCACCAACAGGTGTTCTCTAACCTAGTTCCAAATAATAAGAACGAACTTCAGGGTCAAGGCATTCCAATTCGGAGCCCGCGGAGACTCCCTGGGGATCCGTCACATGGCAGTTTCAGTGTTCTGGTTCTCCAATGGAGAACCAGGAGTAAAGCAGCTTTCGAAATCCCCTTTCTGGCCCCATTTCACCGCCTTGCCATCAAAACTCTTAAAAACTTTACAGTTCTCCGAGAGCACGATGCCCTTCCTGTTAGCACCTGCTGCCTCGGAACCACTGACATCATTTCTGAGGAGGCTTCTTAGGGCTTCTGGTCTCTGTCCAACAGCTCCCCAAAGGTGAGAGTGAGGGGCTCATACTATTGACACTATTGCATGTGGTGCCACATAAAAGGAGAAAATTCTATATATGTAGAGAGAAGTCTAGATGTATCACGTAATGATAAAACTGGTGATGTAAAAGGTTCCTTTTATGTAGCATCTAATAGAAATTGACAAACCTTTTTAAAGTCACGGAACTTCCCTTTCCTTCACCCCGAAATGTAACAGAGCCAAAAGTACAGCTACTCTGGTTAAAAAAAAAAATCTCCCCTTCTGCCTTGAAAGTAACTTCCTAGGGCACTGGTACTGGTCTCCAAGAACATCTCACCCAAGGGACCTGTGTCCTCTCTCCATGGATGAAACCTAAAGCAGTTTTCTCCCTTCTGTCAACTGCTTGGTCCTTAAGTTGTCGAAACTTTAAGGGCCAAGGTTACAAGCATATTGATATATCTTTGTTACAGCTGCATTAGAGTGAAAAGCTGTCATTACTTAAGCATAGTATTATAATTTGAAAAACATTGTTGGTTTATTTGGGAATGGTCCGAACTAACTATTGAACATCTGATGGTTCTCATTAGAGCTGTGTCCGACCGACACGCTGTATAGGAGGGGGAAGGCCAGAGAGAAGTGCGGTAACAGCGTCAGGTTTAGAAACCAGCCTTCCCCGGGACAGTCCAGCGCACTTTCTTCTGCAACATATTTCCTCTAATGATCCCTTACTGTCTGCTTTGGGTTCTTCAAACTTATTTCTTCTTAATTAAGACGTTTCCTCAGTGAACAGGCTGCTTCTGTTGCCATGCCCTCTGGGATGCTACCCTCACCACAGGAATCTTGGGATAAAGGATGTCCATCTGAATAGTAAGTCGCATCCCATGGTACTTTCTATATGCTCTTGTAGTTAAATCTGCAAGCTAGGCTGCACCCAAGAGGCATGCAGACTGGCACTTTACACATACATAATTAAACACATAAAACCTTGAATTAAGAACTTGTACCTAAAAACAACCCCTTTCAATGTGTTCAACATAGCTGGAAGCCATTAATTCCTAGCTAGCTGGCCTGTAAGAAACGAAGGTTTTATTTACTTTTGTGTTATAGGCAGATTATAAAAACAACAAGCATACTAGCTAAAAAGCATCATGGGCTGAAGGAAAATCTGTTCCAGAAAACTGTTGCTAAAATAAACTGAGAAGGATGAACCAGGGTCAGGAGCAGGAAGCTACATACAAAAAAAGCATCAGAGTCTATACTGATGACAAATTTCAAAAATACTTGTTCTATTAACCAAATTTCCTGCAAGGTTCTCCAGTATTTATTCTGGCATTTTGATTTTACTCCAAGAGAACTCCTTCCAAACCCGTGAGGCTCCAGTGAGGGCGGGCAGGGGAAGAGCTTCATCAACAAGCAGGAAGGCAGAGTCCTTTCTCAGCATACGGCCAAAACTCCCACTTCCTCTATCTTTTGTGTATGAGTGGAGAGGCCACTACCTGTGAATAAAACCACTGCCCTTTCCTAAGGGCTGGAAAATGACCTAGCAGCCTAGAGACGCAGCAGACGTGAACTACGAACTGAGTTCCATCACCGGCATCGCCAGTGCTACCCGACACTACCCTGACGACCCAGGGCAAGGACTGGGTTGCCGGGACTTTACAATGGGGTGTGGAGAAGGGCAGAGAAAGGTTATTAATGTGTAGACAGAAGCACTCATTTATATACTCTCTCCTCCTCTCATCACCCCCATTTTGTTAACAGAGCCCCACGGGACTTCTACCCCAGTCACCACTTAGCTACTTCAAGTATCCACTCAACGAAGTTGCTGTGACTCTTATTTCTATGATAAAAGACCATAAAAATAGACCAAACTAGTGGAGAGTGGTACCTCTGAGTGATGGGATTAAGAGTATTTTTCTTTTTTGTTTTGTCTGTTTTCCATAATAATATGCAACACGTTTTTTATTCAACAATAGCTATTTTTTTACAATGCAGCTTTAAAAAGTTAATTCCTCAATAAAATATTAGCAAAT